GCTCAATAAAGTACACACACACACTTTCATTCTGCACTAGACAAAGACTGATAAAGGAAGGAAGGAATGGATAAAACGAACAACAACAACGCAGGCTTTTATGTGAGCCTCTTCTCGAATGCTTCAGCACATGTTTATCCAGGCAATAAGAAATCTAATTTTAGAACAAAGCTAGCAAAACCTGTTGTTTTAAATGAACCGTATGAGGTCGGTGTTATAGAATTTCAATACCCAAGACTATGCTTGTCTTTTCCACAATCAGATTCGCGAGTGGAAATTTATGATCCAGTCAAAGATGGAGCATTGTCCATAACCGTGATTGAGCTGTCTGTGGGGCATTATGCATCTGTAGCGCAGATAATAGAACATTAAAACATAACACTGACATTAAAACACAATACAGTGAAGTTAGTAACTATGTTAGTGTTATGGGCCCTAGGGGCACAGTTCTCACATTTAGAGGGAGACTGGCAGGAATCTTAGGATTCAAATCAGAAGACCCGTTTGTACTTCATTATAAAAACACATACGCATCACATCCTGCAGACATATACGGCGGAAAATAGAACATTTTTATTTATGCAGATATCGTTGATTACCAGCTTGTGGGTGACGCCCATGCGCAGCTATTAAGAGCAATAAATATAACAGACGATGACCGTCGGGGAGCCATTCTTCAATTTGACAGCCCACACTACACACCGGTCTCCAAATCCTTAATCGATGACATAGAAATTGATTTGATAGACGATCAAAATCAACACATACCCTTTTTATACAGGAAGGTGTTTGTCAAGCTCCACTTCCGACCCATAAGACACCATTTTTAAAAAATAAGGATGTCTGTCTACAACACAGATGAAGCAAAATATGTAAGATATTATTTAAATCAGGCTGGTGGCGAATTGAATGGTTATATTGGGACCAGCACGCAATATGGCGCAGGTCTGGGAGGTTTGTTCAGCAGCCTGTTTAGAATTGCTGTACCGTTGTTTAAAAAAGGAGTCAGCATAGTCAAACCCCACCTAAAAAAAAGCAGCATCAGGCATAGTGTCTGATGTGATATCCAACATAACCAAGCCAACATCTACTAAACAGGATGGCAACAGCTTGTATGTGTATACACCCAAACCTTCTAAGACCCCTCCCACTGCACGCATGCGTGATACACCGCCGCCTACAAAGCGTAAAACGACAAAACCTGCCAGGAAAGCCACCAAACGGAGACAACCACGCGGAGTAAAAGACCCAGAACCAGTCGTTCAAAAACTACAGCATTTGACATCTTCTAAATGGCTCTGTTACACAACCAATCAGGAGAATGTCTAAAAACAGAGCTCGATCTTTTTACTGTCCCATACACACAAACGTCCATAGAGAAAACGACCTTTATTGAAATTCCACCAGTTTCTGCAATCACAGACGGAGGTCCAATCGAGTTTAAATCTCATCGTCCGGAGAGGATTACCTGGATCTAAACGATTCCTATATCTACACACGAGTAAGAATCACAGATGCTGACGGCACAAACTTAGGCAGGGATGATTATGTAACGGAGCGGAAAGGCTGATTTTATTTCCACAGTGTTTTGTGTTTTTTTTTTTTTTTAAAGGAAGGAAACCTTCCTCAAAACGGGCAGAGCAGTGGAGCCGCCAAGGGAAAGCACACAATTTAAACTGTAAGATTAAAAATATAATTTATTATATTTAAATAGTTAAAAATGTAAAATGAATTAAAACAACCTTGGCCAAGGGTAACACAGTAAAAATCAATAAAGCATAACATTAAAAGTCCTGTGGCCTGCGCCACGACCTAAAAGTCCCAGGGAGCTAAGAAATCCAGCAGGTGGTGTAACCAAAGGAACCAGCGGAGTCCTCGCCTCCCTCTCGCACTCACGCCCCGATATGCCCGGGTGGGCAGAGCTCTCAACTCCGCCCGCCGCTTCTTTAAAACTGGAAATCGGCACAGCCGTCTCGTGCCTCTGCGCGCTGGTGCCTGCATTAGCCAACTCTAGCCGCCTTAGAAGAAGGGAAAACCCGGCGGCGTCTCGCCGCCCTATCGATGTTTCTGTTCCGGTTGCCACCGCTTTCCTGTGGCACACCAACCGGCACCAGCCCGTCTGGGCTTGTGGCACCGCCACCGCCTGATACCGTTCACTCTCTCAGTCCTCACTCCACCATCAATCTCCTCTCTCTCGTCTCCCATCACTCTTATTGGCCTCCGGGACCTCACAGGTGTGTCGGGTTCATAATCAAGGAGGGGCGGAGACTTTCCAGGACAAGTCACCGATGAATACCATAAAACATGCAATAAAACCAAGAATAGAACACTATACAATATTAAAATATTAAAGAAAGTAAAAACAAAACCAAACATGCACAATAAAAATATCTTAGGTAACTTGTCCCTCTCCACCCCGTGACACAAACGTGGGACTTGTTAATTATCCAGGTTGCACCTTATTTAGTCAGGTAGATGTAAATTTGGGGGATCGCTTGATGAGCCAATCATCCAACACGTATCCATACAGAGGCATAATAGAATGTCTTATCAATTATAATAAGCAGACTTTAGACACACAGTTCAGCAGCGCTTTATTCTGTACAGACACAGCCTCGCACATGAATGATACATGTATAGAAGGGGAAAGCCAGGGTCTGGTGACCAGAGGTACTTATACAGCGAATAGCAGTATTGTTGAATTGATTGCTCCAGCACACGCAGACCTGTTTTTTCAAGAAAAAATATTACTTAATGGAATCGATCTGTCGCTGAAATTTGTGCGCTCTAAAGACGAATTTGCTCTCATTACTGGAGCTAACACCGCGTATAAAGTTAAAATGGTCTCTGCCAGCTTATTTGTGAAAAGAATCAGTGTCTCACCAAGTGTCAGGCTGGCACACGGCAAGGCTCTGCATCATGCAAATGCAAAATATGCTGTAGACAGAGTTTCTTTAAAGACCTTCTCCACACCTGCTGGGGCAAGAATATCAACTAATTTATTTATGGGCAGGTTGCCTAAATTTGTCATCATCGCCTTCGTGGATAACAAAGCTTATCCTGGTTCTTTTACACGTAATCCATTTAATTTTAAAACTATGATATAGAATTCATGTGTTTATACGCTGATGGACAGTCGTATCTGGCCAAACAATTCCTGTTTCAATCTGGAAGCTGATGAAGGACATTCAGGGAACGTATCATTAGTTCAAACAGGGAGCGTGAGGCTGGAAACCCGTTTCAGAAATCCGCTACCCCGAACAATGAACCTGGTGTGTTACTCTGTATTTGATTCAGTCATCCAAATATCTAATGAGACAAGTGCTGCTGGACGACTTCTAAACATTCAAAATGAATACAATAGAACTAACCAGCATTGTTAAAAGGATTAGTAACAGGGCTCATCTTCTAGGCGTCTTAGCATGTGACCAGCTGCCAACAAAGCCCATCAGATATCCATGCATGGGCATTGTGAATACAGATCCATCAGACTTACCTGGGAAGCACTGGTTGGCGTTCAATATCACAAAAGACAAGCAAGGGCACTTTTTTGACAGCTTCGGTAACTCACCTGATAAGTTTTCACCCGAGATAAAAGTTTTTCTTTTAAAAACACCGCTCGGATATTGTATTCTGGGAGACAGGTTCAGAAGGACTTTTCGGTAACCTGCGGACAACACTGTGTGCTTTTTCTATATCATGTCCAAAAAGGAGCGTCTTATTCAAGACTAATTAATATGTACAGTGATAACCTTGTTTGTAACGATGCAATGGTTTGTCATTTTGTTAACAAAATAAGACCTGTTTCTGCATGTTTTGAAAATAACTTTGATTGTGTGCAGTGCGGATACTGATTCAAGTAACAAATAATAAAAGATAACAGAAGAGAATATCGTTTCATCTGGTATTTATTTTCACCTAATTGCTAAAAACATTATTTAGTAATAATAAAATCTTTAAACATCAGCATAGAGTTCAAAAAGTAGTAAAAAGGGGAAAACTGTCATCTGTTTAACAAAACAATATAGACATAAATAAGAAAAAACACATAAGTAGTAGTATATAAAAAGGGAAACAAATGCGAGGTTAAATGATCTTTTTTTCAAGAATAAGAAAAACAAACATAATTTTAAAATTCATTAAAAATCGATCCACCCGCTTCTACTCTGCCTTGATTTTTTATGTGTGGTAAATAAGCTTTGATCGCTCAGTGACCGCTTCTTGTGCAAACCATTTGTTTCCACACTCGGGTCGCCAGTGTCGCCTTTATATTGGCTAATAGTCCTCCTCACCTCAGCATTAGGAAAAGCAGACAGAGACTTTCTCCCTCACTATGTGTTAATAGACCTCTCTGCATTGAATCACACTTGTTATTAATCTCTGTCTCTCTTCCACAGCATGCCTCTTGTCCCATCTTCGTTCTCTCACCCCAACCACTCCTGGCAGATGGCCGCCCCTCACTGAGCCTGTTACTGCCGGCGCTTCCTCCCTGTTAAAAGGGAGTTTTTTTCCACTGTCGCCAAAGTGCTTGCTCATAGGGGGTCATATGATTGTTGGGTTTTTCTCCTTGTGTATATTATTTTAGAGTCTACCTTACAAAGTAAAGCACCTTGAGCCGACTGTTGTTGTGATTTGGTGCTGTATCAATAAAACTGAAGTGAATTGAAATAACATAAAAGGACATAATGCTGCAGGTTGGCTTTCTTTCTTTTCTGATTCACCAGTTTGTATGCATCTTTTCACAGGAGTGACCTAAGGACGGCTGTAGCCTACCCTTATTTACTTATATAATGAACAACATATAGTGTAATGTAGTGTAAAATAGAGTGTTTTCTTTTAATTTAATGACATAAAGCAGGGATCAAATGTTTCCATGGTGACTGTTTTAGAATTGTGTATTTTTAAATCTGCATCAGACTTGAAAAAGAGCTCATCTGTGCAAGAAAAACCATCAAGTCAGGAGTATTTTCATATCTACATTTGATCTTACACAAGTTTTGAAGAGTTTTGGAAAGTTTCTCTTCCCCAACTGTGATAGAACAGCAGCGTTTTAATGGAAGCCAGTAAAGGGATCTACAAACCCATCAGGGTATGTGACACTTTTTGTTTTTACTGCATTTTTGAAGAATTTGATGTAGTTTTAAAAAGCTGACAAACAGAATCAATTTAAGTTACAATGAGTAATTTCTTATTTCTTTGACAGGTGCTGTTCAACACACCCATATATAACACAGCTGTGGAGATCTGCTGGTATCTACCAGGTTACAGGGCTCAGGTAAGACCCAGATCCATCCAAAACAAAACTGAGATAAAATGTCAGGTGATTTCTGAAGACCTGGGACTGATGCTGATTAAATGTCTCCTTTTATTTTTAGATTGCAATGATGATGGAATTCCTCAGACTTCAGAAGGAAAACCAAATACCATCAAGCCTCACTGCAGAAGATATGGGAGATCTTTTGGTGGAGAGGAGCAAAGAGACAGTCAGAGAGCAGTGAGTTACTGTGACACCTACAGACCATCCACCTCACACCTGAAACTGTTTGTGCTGAAGTGTAAATGCTGAGAGAAAACCTCTCTTTTGTTTTCTTTTGAAGACTTTGGGAGTTTGAATTGGAGGGTTTGGAAGAAACAGAAGCCAAACCTCTTCTGAAACTGGTAAGACTAGAAAACTCACAAGAGTTTTAGTCATTTGGAGATCTTTTTTTTTTTTTTTTACTACAATCACATAACCTCTCAACAAAACTGCAATGTAAACATGCTTTCTGTTTCAGGTGTGGGCAGTGAACACAATAAATAAAATGAGGGACATCGAGTTTCAAGCCCGGATGCTGCTGGAATTTCCAGAGGCCATACCTCCTAAATTTCAGTGAGTCACCTCTGACATAAAATCATTAACAGTCCAGCTACAGTATTTCAAAATTTCTGTAATTTTTTTAAATAGGTGTAAAAGATCATTCTTATAACTTTATTCTGCAGAACACCTAAGCTCCTCAGCAATGTCAGGAAGTACATTGACCTCCTTAAAGAGAGGCAGCAGGACGCACAAACCTCCAAACTGTTCACTGCAACAGACGTGGTGATAGAGGTGGTTCCCCGTGTCCTGCATGGCTTCTGGAAGCTTCCTTCTTACCCCCTACTGAACATGTCCTCCCAAAAATTGAGCATCCTCTCCACCAGTGTGACAAAGGCCACTTTGGATCGAGTGTCCAAATCTCTCCTAACAACGGAAAACCAGGCCATCTTCTCAAGGTCCATCAGAGATGACATGGTGCAAAGTATCCTGTCTGAAGTCAGAGAGAAATATTCAGAAAAGATTCTGCTGAGCCACATTGCAAACTTTGCACCAGGACTACTCAGGGCAATTTCTGATGTAGCAAAGATGAGCATATGCCAGATCTTCCAGCCCCCTTGTGAAAGTCCAGTAGTGTCTGATGTTCTTCCAACTAAAGAACCTCATCCTGAAGGTCTGCTGAAGTCAGATGTTCTTCCCACTTCCCAACCTCCAGTTGAAAGTTCACGAATTGCTGATATTTTTTCCACTCACGAACCTCCTTCCAAAAGTTCAACAAAGGCTGATGTTCTTCCAGCTAAAGAACCTGCTCATGAAAATCTGCTGAAGTCAGGTGTTCTTCCTACTAAAGAACCACAAGAACCTGCTTGTGAAAGTGTTCTGAAGTCAGATGTTCTTCCCACTTCCCAACCTCTTTTTGAAAGTTCCACAAAGGCGATGTTCTTCCAGCTAAAGAATCTGCTCATGAAAATCTGCTGAAGTCAGATGTTGTTCCTACTAAAGAACCAAAAGGACCTGATCGTGAACGTGTTCTGAAGTCAGATATTCTCCCTACTAAAGAACCACAAGAACTGCTTGTGAAGTTTCTGATCAGTTTCTTCCTACTAAAGAACCACACGAACCTGCTCCTGAACGTGTTCTAAAGTCAGATGTTCTTCTTACTTCCGAACCTCCTTTTGAAAGTTCAACAAAGGCTGATGTTCTTCCGACTAAAGAGCCTGCTTGTAAAAATCTGCTGAAGCCAGATGTTGTTCCTCCTAAAGAACCTCAAGAACCTGCTTGGGAAAGTGTTCTGAAGTCAGATGTTCTTCCTACTTCCGAACCTCTTTTTGAAAGTTCAACAATGGCTGATATTCTTCCCACTGGAGAACCCGCTCGTGGAAGTCTGCCAAAGTCAGATGTTCCAGATGTTCATCCTACTAAAGAACCTCTCATTGAAAGTTCATCAAAGGCTGATGTTCTTCCTACTAAAGAGCCTGCTTCTGAAAGTCTGGCAACGTCTGATGATCTTCCTAGTGAGGAACTCCCTTCTGTATGTCTATCCATGTCTGAGCCAGTTGTCTCTTTTACTAATAATTCAGAGAAGTCTGACAACATTAAAATCAAGGAGAAAAAGGAGAAAAAGAAGAAAAAAAAGGGCTTCTGCCAAAAATTCAGAGCCCTGTTCTGTTGTTGCTTCAGACCCCAAGAAACTGACTGATTTTGAGAATCCAATCTGTTTGTTCTAACTCTACAAAATCAAATAAAATGATTAATCAATATTTTTTCCATGAGTCTGCATCTATGATTAAAGAATATTTTTCCTTCAGATGTTTATAAGGGTTCTCAAAATACCTCCACAAGTCCAACAATTGTTAACATATTAGTGTTGTTATCTTTAAGAGAATCTGAACTTATTCTTACTCTTAACATATCAACAGCAGTAACTGAAACCTGGAAATGAAAAAAAAGTTACCAACAATTATTAACATTGCTTCACATCTTTGTTTAGTAATGGCCCAGATACACATTGGCACATAGCAGGACCTCAGTGTTTATGAGTATTCTTCCACACTTAGGAATATTAATAAAAGGAGCATCTACATGCCACAAAGCTGATGAGAACCACACATGTCTTCCAACATCCTCAGATTTGTGTTTTACAATTAAGAGGAACTTTGCATAATGTTTGTATGCTCAAATCCTCAAAGGTCTATTATTTTTCAAAGTTTGTCCTTTCAACCAAAGTTAAAAACTTCTGCGGACATCAGCAGTTTATTCTTTTGCAATCAAACTCTTAAAATTAGAACATTTCCACCAAACCTGGGTGGGTGCTGGAGCTCCAGGAAGGAAAACTCAGAAGAGGAGGAAAAACAGTCCAAAGAAACAGTTCAGGAGGCCAACCGCATGGCCATCAACTGAGACAATTCAGTTCAGGAGGCGTTTCTCCCATTGAAAATGCTACGTCCAGGTGAACAGAATCACCCTTTTGGGATTTCTACCACATATTTATCACTAGATTTACTAAACCTGCGCAAATTTGCGTAACTTCCCTAAACCCAACACCCCCTAGAATTACTGGCTTTTTTATTTTCTGGTGCAAGTCCCGAGGTGTTAATCACCCCTGCTGAGATTTTCACAGGTCGTCAGCTCGTTTCTCCTCCAGCTTTTGTTGTGCAAACCACCCATTATCCTTGAGGCCTGGCACATTTGCATTTGCTCACTCAGAGTTGCTCAGATCCAAGTCAGGCCAAACCTCTGTGTTACGACTTTCAGAAATGCCTGCTGTATCTATACAAAATATCCCACACATTGACTGACCTGCAAATATAAAAGACACACATTCACACCTTCCTTGACTCTCAGCACAGATCTTCCATTGTTCCATTGTCACTGTGTATGTGAGGGAGTGGCATTGCTTGACTACAGCACAGTGCTGTGCATAAAAGCAGACCGACCCAGACGGGAGAATCATTTCTTGTTCGCATTTCTGAGAACGCACATCAGGATGGCCTCCGTATCACTGCCACGCAGGAAGAACCTCTCCACGCAACAGGCTTTGGCTTTGCTTCAGAAAATGGACGAAGCAGATTCTGATGGAGGAGAGGTTTCATTTGTCCAGCAGGCCACTGATACCTCCTCAGAAGAATCTGAAAAGGAGACGGAACAAGAACCCAACATGCCGATGTAGCCAGATGGGCTACTCGCCTTCCGTTTTTTCTTCTCTCATTCTCTCTCGCTCGCTCTACCACCCTCGCTCTCTTTCCGCTGCACTCGCTCCTTGTATCAGGTGATCGGGTTAATTGGGAACCCACCTGCACATTGATTGCAGGGCGGCGCTAGCCCGTATAAAGCTAAGCCGATGTTTTGTTGGATTAATCCCTCCTGAGCTTCTGGTGCGATACAGCAGTAAATGCTGGCGTACTGCGACGGACTGGATCCTATTATACAACAGAAAGGACAAAGTGTGACTCTAACAGCTGTTGAACGCACACAGACTGTGATGTTCTCCACACGTCACCCATCGCTCTGCACTTTTCGAGCATCCAACTGTTTTTCTGCTACATAACATCACTGCAGGAGAAAAACAACGGACAGACAGACAGCACAGTGTGACACGAGCAGGTCAGACCACCTGTGTGATCTCATGAGTCTGTGAGGATATGAGGCATCTTATGGTATCAAAGCCCTGGAGTCTGTCAAACATGGCTACATGTAAACACTGCTACATGTTAGGTGAGCTAACATTTAACTGACTGCACTTTTTTTCTGTCTCAGTTTAGGTCATTTATGTCCTTACTGCGAATCACTGAAAGGCAAAGCTGGCTTTTATCGCTCTGATGTTACGCACATCATGCAGCACAGATTCATCTCTGATCACAAGACTCATGTTTCAAAATAAAAGCGAGCTAAGGCTTGAAAAGAGGACGACGACTTTATGACAATCGCAGAGAAAAGAGCAACGAAACGATTTAAAACTTGATGAAAATGTTTTCTCTCACTGAAAACGAGCAAATCCTAATAAACAGCATGACTGGCCCTCTGCTGTGAGGGGGCTTCAGTGGAGATGACTTCTGCTACAGCGACCTTCCTGCTACCGGATGGTCACATGATAACGATCAACGTTATGACAAAAATCAAATAAATGTCGAAAAAACAAAGACAAAACTGATCGGTGGTAAGGATGAACTCATTTGAAACCTCAAGCTAACGGCCATTTTTTCTTCTCATTACAAACTGCACCTGTTGTCTTTTGTCATCACAAAATAAGCATATCATTCATTCACTCCAAAAACAAAACAAAACAAAACAAAATAAACAAGAAACTTAATATTTACAAATATTTTGTCTGTTTTTTTTCTTACACTTAAAAATGTACAGCTCTGATCTTCTTCCAGATGTTTCGACTCCATCCGTCTCCCAGTTTGGTATTTTCTTCTCTGTCCAGTGACCTCAGAGTGAGCGCTGAATGTGCCACAATGGCGCCCTCTAGTGTTAGCTTATAAAACAGACAAGGAGAAAGAACAGAGCCGAATGAAAGGACTCGTTTGTGTTCTCTCCTCTGCTGTAGCTGTGTGGTGCTGAGGTTAACTACACAACCCCTCGCCACCTCCTTATACACAGGAGTGAGTACAAAAGGGTTCGTACGGACGCATCAGCCGGCCGTCCTTCTGCTCGACACTGTTAGCTGAAAGATGATCGGATCATCCTCTGTCCTGTATTTAAGGCTGAGAGTCTTTGTCCAGTCTCTTTTCCACAGCTACTGTCCACAGCACTGATCCACCTGCAGCACAGCCCCACTCAGTTGTTTTATGATTTACATTGTGCACGTTTCCCTTCCACTGAGCTTACAAAACCTCTGACAGGAGAAGTCAGGCATGTGTTTCCCCCACCTCCCCTTTTAGGCAGTAATAAAATAGAAAACAAACAATCAAACAGGCTAAAGCTAGAGCACAAGCAAAGACAGCACCGGTGACTAAGTTCTCCCATACTGGACGTACGCTACCACGTGGGCTCAAACAGCAGCACATCAGCTCAGTTTACATACTGTTGACATCTTCATCAGAGGATCAGCAGGGAGCGCTGCTGAGCTGCAGTCGTCTCCACCAGAGTGACGGAGCAGGAATCACAAACAGCACAAACCCACCGTGTTGTTTCCACCCTGTTCAGGAGATCTGAGCCCCCATCCCTTTTTTTCATGTTGCAGCTCTGCACTGCAGGCCCTGAACGCCTCCCGGTTACCCTCAGTGTGCTTAGAGTTTCATTTACAACCGACGAGCTCACAGATCATCTGCAGGCAGGTGAACGAACCCTTAATGTGAGGATAATAGCAGAGCTGAGCTGAGGTCAGAAATAGTCAGGAACGGTGTCGACACAGTGAAGTCAGCTGTTTGGGAATTTGTCTGATTATCAGTTTGGGGGGGGCGGTGTTAAATAACAAAGGCGGTGTAGGATGGAGAGAGGAGGAGGGAGGGAGCAGTGATGATATGAAGTCAGAATACACATGTGGCAGACATAAGGGGGTCAGACAGGAGCAGCATCAGTCTCTGCTCTGTTTTGTTAATAACGTAGAAAAATAATTTTGTACAATCAAGCTACATCGACGGACGCTTTACCTCACGTACCCTAAAATGAAAAAGTAGTGACAGTAAGATGGAGGCTGCACATGACACCATGACTGAGTTCACAGCTGTTGCTTTGATTCTAACGTTTAAGACTTTTGGCATCGACTCCGTTTTAATAAATGAGTGCTGGGAGGCGTCGTTTGACTTCAGGAGCTCCTGCGATGCTCCTGCGATGCTCCTGCGATGCTCCTGCGATGCTCTTACTCTGCGGGAGAAAACCAAAAACCAAAAGTAGCAAACATGGAGCGATATGACTCGTTTAGATTTTGGGAAACGTGCATCGACAGGTACAGTGTCCTTTTCCCCGCGTCTTTAAAAATGATTCATGCATAGATCCCCCACTGAGAAAACCCTTTTATATACTTTCTCCTTTGTACACATTTTATATAGAACTATATATAATATCATTTCTCTATATCTATATTTTCAGAAAAATTCTTTCCACACAATAAAAAACAACAATTTAACAAATGCTTCAAACAAAACAACAAAAAGAGAGAAGATGGAAGAAAGAAAATCACGACTGAGGCCAGTTTGGCACTTTGTCATGAGAACATGACAGAACTCTGTTAGTTGACGGTAAATAGCGATACTCTATTTTTCTTTGGTTTTTCTTCTCCCTCGATGAGAAATGAAACACAGCAGTACTTACTTGGCACCTAAAAATGCTGGTCGAATGAAAGATATCAGTGTTTTCATAGTTATATGTTTAGTGTACGCCTCCCCCCTCCAGACTGCTCAGCAGATCGGGAATTTTTAGAGAAGAGCAGGAGGGAGGCGTGTCAAATGAGAGGAAGAGAGCAGTAATAAAACACGGATGTAGAAAAGAGAAGCATAATGTGCACATAACACACAGGAGATGGAAAAAGAGATGACGCCAACGTAAAAAAGAGAAAACAGCGAGGAGCGAGAGAGCATTCGTCCCTTTGACAAATGTTGGAGGTCTTGAGCCTGGAAACAGCAGACCGTCTTTGAAAACAGTATCTTTGAAAGATCTGAGTCACCCACCCCAAACTGCTCATCTGCTGCTGGACACTTCAGTTGCACCTCCACATGCCACCAGTGGAGGGAGCTGCCAAGTTTCACAGCACATGACGCAGCAGGTGTAGTTGCTTTTGGAGAAAGAAGAGAATAAGAGGACAGAACGAAGGCCCACGTCTAGAGGCCTCCCTTCCAGAGCGGAAGCAGAGCCAGTGTTCCTGGTCCTAGGTGGCGCTGTGTCGGGCTGTCCTACTATACCTGGTGGTGGAGTGGGGTGGGCAGGGTGTTGTGGCCGGTGGAGGGAATGTGTTGAAGGCGTGAAGAGCTGCATGCTGGTGATGGTGCTGGGATCACGGTGATGGTGTTTGGCTCATCAGCGGCACGTTGTCGGGGGCGCAGCGCAGCGCCAGGGTGTAGTCGGGAGGGCAGGCGGGCCGCAGGATGTCGTGGGGTCGCAGGGGCTCATGTCGTGGTGAGCGTCGTGCTCCAGTCCTTCATCTGCAGGGACATGATCTCCTCCTGGCTGTGAGCCAGGTCGTTGGCGGGGCGCCCGCTGAGGGGACAGCGGTGCCGGCGCATCTCGTGCCGCTTGTCACGCTTGTAGTAAAGGGCGGCGAAGGCCAGGATGTTGAGGAAGAAGAGCAACGCTCCAACTGCAACTGTCACGCTCAGTTCGGTGGAGTAGTCGCAGGTGTGTCTGGGAAGAGGTCTGGGCGGGCGCTCTGAGCCTCGGGCTCAGGATCTGATGGGAAGGTAGGGTAAGGATGACGAGTGGTTCGAGGAACGTTGTTCTGGGCCTCATGGTGCCGGGGTCACGGCCTGCGGGGGAGCGCGTAGTGGTGGGAAAGAGCACGTCGTGCAGGCTGTGAAGATGAGGGACTAATTCCAGCCAAAAGGCCACTTTGTTAGCTCTGTAGTTGTCTCTGACACGAGGTTTCAAACCGATGTGAAGGTACTGCTTGTCCTTCCAGTTGAACTTGGTCCAGATGACCTCCTCGAAGCGGTTGGGCTTGGTATGAATGAACTTGGTGTCCTGAGGGACGGGCAGGTTGGGGTCCCTGGTGGAGCATAAAGGTTAAACGTTTCAGTTCAAAGTTATATTCAGTCTCCATTATAAGTAACATGTGGCATCAATACACTGAATACAGACAGGAGGCCCATTCTCTGTGCAACCTTTAAACTATCTAAGACCAACCGGCTGCTCTGGGATCTGGATGCTTTTGGTGAACCAGTATGTTCAATTCTTCAAAGCCACACGGAAATTAAACTAGCAACCTAGATTCAAGTATTCAAGATGACTAGAAGGCTATCAGAGAACATACAGTAATGTGTACAGTTTACACTACTGTGACATGAGGCCTACCCAGTCTTTGCGGAGTTAGTCCAGTAAGTCATGACCACAGCGCTCAGCATCACATCGTTCTTGGAGAAGTTGCACGGGAACAGGTCCGTGGCACCGATCATCGGTACGCCGAACACGTAAGGTATCTCGTCTCCGTGCGCGGCGTCGGCACTCGGGCCGCGTCTCGGTGTGGCAGTGGTGGTAGAACGTGTAAAAGTAAACTGGGGACTGAAACTCAGCATG